TAACTAAAATACTAAGGAACTTTGGATCTACCTAACCAGTTTTTTCCTATTTTCTATATATTTTCACAAATATATATATCTCAAAACAATGTTGGGTAATATTGTCAGCTTTATCTCATATCCAAGAATTTAATTCCTTCTTTGCTGGCCACTTCCTTTATGATGATGATGGTGGTGTTGGTAACTAAATTCACTGCTAACATGTAGAAGCTTCCAATTTCACCAAAACCTGTTTCAGTCATCGATTCCCTGTCACCATTTGGCTTTGCAAAAGCTGGTTGGAAGTGAAAGAAAATCAGTGTAGAAGAAAGTGTCAATAATGTGAATTTCTTTAAGGTGGACCTCAATTTGCCAGGAAGTGACCCAGACACTTGATTTCATGACCTTCCTCTGCGGCACATATGGAATGAAACATGCTGAATCCAGTGATGAAACTGGTGCTGACTATTATAATTTTGAGAGGCACCTTCTTCAGCATGTCCATCATGTGTAGCCCTCTTCATCTGCTGGTTTAACCAGCGAGATCTATTGTAATCATCATCCACTTGTTCCACAGCTGGGGTCTTTGGGTTTGATGTGCTTAGCCTGGGTTCTCATCCTCAACCTTGACACGAAGTGTAGCCCTTCCGGGAATATAGAACTCCCAATGGCATCATTCTGTTAGTCATGCAAGCAACTCCACAACAAGGAGTGACCATCAGAGGTACGCACATGGAAACACACACACACTGAATGTTGGAGTAAACAGTTTGTCATCAAATGTACCAATTATTGTTGTTGGGTAATAGAATGACAACAAAATAAAAAAAAAATTGTACGTAACCCGTTTCATCATATAAAAGGAGCTCGTTCATTTTTATTCATGAAAATCTAAAAATTATATAACATATTTCTGAGATGACATTCCAACCACCTGAAGAAGGCCGGAGCATACAACAGATGAAACGTTGTAATAAATATGGCGACAAAGATGAGAACAATAGTTCGAATAATGTAAATAGTATAACATATTATTATTAAGTAACAACACACTCATGAGGCGGGAAAATATGAACTAAAACATTTGTTATAATCATACACTGAAAGGAAATTCTGAAATTCTATTTTTGTGTATCGAGTAACGAGAAAAATTTTAAAAATTAGCATCCGCATATCTTCAGTGTTTCTTCTCAGTACACAATTATAATTAATTTTTTACTTTATATTTTCTCACCCCCCCACCACACACACACACATATATATATATATATATTATATATATAGTTTATGAAAAACTAGGTAATCTGTATGGGTAAACCTAAGGAGGATAAAATCCAGAGAGCTCAATATAAATCCAGAGCAAATAATTTGAATAAAAACAGACCACTTTAAGGTTCCATGTAATAAATTATTTCACCACAGCCCTTTTAAAGGACTCCGGATCATCAGACTTTACTTAAGTAAAGTCTGATGATTACATGGAACCTTAAAGTGGTCTGTTTTTATTTAAAATATATATATATGTGTGTGCATATATATATATATATATATATATATATATATATATATATATATATATATATATTTCATTCATTTATTTGTGGATTTAGGAATCAAATCTTTTTTTTAGGCATGTCTGATTGAATAAGTTACATACGAATATACCAGGAGAGTCCTGCATGTAAGTAAATGTAATAAATCTGACTGGAATTCAAACTTTGCTTTCCAAGAAGGTTCTATACATTACCCCATCCACCAAGGGTAGAGATATGTCACTTATTCAAATTCATATAAAATTCAAATTACTAGTCAAATACAAAAGAAACGTTATCTCCCACATCCATCCAAGGCAATTACAGATAAAGAAGATGTATGCTGGCCTTATTTCAATTATTACTGTCATTTAGCTCCAGATTGTTAAAGCAAGCAAAAAGCATCTGTGCTTTTAACACACAAAACAAACCTTAACATAGTTTTTTTTTTTTTTTAAGAAAGAGACGGTTGCTTGAAAAAATAAAAAAACAAACAAATAAAATGCTCAAAAAATAAAATAAAGCATCAAATAAAACAAAAAACATTAAAAAAATTGGAAATGTACAATAAATTTAATTGACAATGCTGATAGATAAATCCATCAAATACCTGATATTTATATTTTAGGAAAAAATAATAAAACTGAATTGACCATATATATATATATATATATATATATATATATATAACCCATTAATATAGCATACCTTAAAACTATATCATATATATCTTACAAAAATTTTGAAACTACCAGCATCTCTCATTCTTGTATATGTATAGCCACAACATCAACAAACCTAGTCCAATGAAGTCCGAACAGATGAAATATGTCACAAAAACTTTTTACATTTTGTCATACATCTTTTCATTCAAAACTGTTCATATATGAAAATTTATATTGTTTTCCATATAAGTAATTTAGTAAACACAATGTATTAAATGTTCATAATATAATAATTCTTAGGTTTAATAGATATTTCTAATAAACTGATTAAATAGCATTTTATAAAGAAAATTGATGTATACCATGACTTATGTTAAAAAAATAATATATATTTTAATGAACAAAGATTATATATATATGATAAAATATAGTAATAAGGTATGCTATATTTATGAGGCATAAGTGCTGGATATATAAGATTGAGCATGTGTAAACATAAAAGTGTACACTGATATCAGCACAGAGTGGCGACAATCTGTCTAATGCAATCTTCAGGCCATCACACATGCTGACTGCAGTGCCATATATTTGAAATATTATCACCATGCTTGAGGGTGAATTTATATATATATATATATATATATATATATGAAAAATCAAAAATTTAAAATATCTTGGTTAGAAATACATTTTAGCTAAAAACAAGAATAAAAATTAAAATTCAATAATATGAGCAGATAGTGTAATGATTAGTCATGAAAAATATGATCACTTGTAATAATTTTAGGCTAGCATTAAGGATTATGACATTGCAATTGACAATAATATCAAAATTGATATCATTGCCAGATGTTATAATTTCTATTGTTCATTTCTATTACAAAAAAAAAAATCACCCCCTCCCAAAATCAGAAAATTGGGTGAACATTGATTTGGACAGATATTTCACCCATTTGCTGATTAGTAAACAGATCTGCAATGAGAGAAGTGGCATTGTCCACAGGTAAGAAGGAGAAAGTTTTGTGGAAAAAAAAAAACAAAACAAACAACAACAAAGCAAATTCTGTTGAATGATTTTCACATCTTTTTCCAAAGTTATCAAATAGTCTATATATAAAGATGCAATTAATTCATTAATACTTTTATTAATATTTAAATAAAGAACATACAATAATATTAATCACTAAAATCAAAATGAATGCGCAAACAATAATCTTATTGAGATAGAAACTATAAAGAAAAAGACGAAAAAAAAAGATCAATGTCAAAGAGAAAGACTAGAATAATGGAAAGACAGAACAGTGAAAAAATAATGCTGATAATAAATATAATGCTAATAATGATGATTTTCACAATGACAGTATAATAAATATAATGTTGACAATAAAAACTCTCATAAGATTGAAGCTGTCAAAAAATTTAAAAAAAAAAAGATACAAAAAATAAAAAGAAATTAGTTAAAATTAAATTAGCAAAAGAAAAAAATTTATCAATATTAGCAAAACTTGAAAAAATTATTGTATGCATTTGGTATTAATAAATACCATATTCACATAAACAGAAATAATTGTCTTTTATAAATTGTGATTTCCATGTTAGTTCATTTTGCCTTGATTAAACACAACCACATCATTTCAGTTAAGAAAAAAACTGCTTTAAGAACTAATTATTAGAATTATACACATGAAAAAGGGCCAACATGTATTACTTATAAGGATGTGTAAAACAATGATAAAAGATTTAAGACGAAACAGGATGGTTTTCATTTTGAAAACTGGCTACAATAATTACACCATATAATAGCATTCTGTTAGTAATGCTTGCATTAATTCCTGATCACTGATAATCCCTTTCTTAGTGATTTTCAATGTATTTCTCTTATAAAATCATTTACAATGCATCTATTTTATATGACAGTAATGCTTGCATTAATTCATGACCTTCATGTAGCCTTTAAATCACTAACAATGGTTTCACTTACAGTCAAACCAATGTTGTGTTACAAACTAACATTAAATTAAAGCTACTTTGTAAATTATATATCCATATGAATAAAATATGTACGAAATATTCATCAAGGTTAACCATTAGGTTTTAAAAGAAAAAGCCCATAATTTGACACTAAGTTGTCCTCTAATTTATATCATTGTTAGAGTGGGTTTGCTTCTTACAAGGGTGGAGGAGATTTATTCTCGCTTTCAAATGGGCTTACAGTGTACAGGAAATTCATCCTTGGAGGAGTTTCTAATGCAGGCTCTCAGTTACGTGTCTGTCATTGGGCAGAGTGTGCTCAGGGGCTTCTCTGTCAAAGGACAGAGGGGCAACTGAGAAAATTATACTGAGAGAGGCCCAGCCCTGGGGAACAGCTGCCCAAGACCGTGCCCTCCCATTGCACCAGAGGGAGGGATCAGTGCTCACACCGAGGCCAGCACAACTGACAGTTGCAGGGGCGTATGCACTCAGGTCCCCACCTAAAAAAGACCTTGTGTCACATCTCGTCCAAGAGTGGAGAAGGAGTTAATACTGTGTACAGGAAATTGATAATAAAACTAATACTCTTAACTCTTTGAAAATTTCACAGCTTTCGTATTTGAACTTTATAAGGAATCCTAATTCTTAATGATTAAGTTCTTTGCAAGTTCCACAAATATAAAATAACTGCAGAAATCCCTTTACTGTACCATTAAATATACTAAGTTAACAATCTTAACTAAATATTACAATAACAACCAAAAATATGGATGCAGGTCATTATTTAAAGTATTAAGAGGGTACAAATGAAAAGCTTGAAAATCAACAGTTTCTCCTTTTCACTGAAAAGGTTTACAGCCATATCATATTGGAACACTGGTTCCTGTATGATCACTGAAGTTAAGCAACATCAAGCCTGGTCAGTACCTAGATGAGTGACCGCTTGCGAATATCAGGTGCTGTAAGCCTGGATGTGTGGGTGGTGTAATTGATAATTTTCTCAGAATTTCCAAGTTCCAATTCTAGTTGGGTTCATTATATTCACCTCTGGTTCCTGTATAATCACTGAAGTTACGCAACATCAAACCTGGTCAGTACCTAGATGGGTGACCGCTTGGGAATATATGGTCATATCACATTGGAACACTGGTTCCTGTATGATCACTGAAGTTAAGCAACATCAAGCCTGGTCAGTACCTAGATGGGTGACCGTTTGGGAATATCAGGTGCTGTAAGCCTGGATGTGAGGGTGGTGTAATTGATAATTTGCTCAGAATTTCCAAGTTCCAATTCTAGTTGGGTTCATTATATTCACCTCTGAGCAAATAGTTAGGAAAAGTATGAATCCACCTCTTCTCCTCTTAGCTGTGGGTTAATCAGTAAGACTTGTATCACTAAACCATTATTATCCCAGCTATAGGTTAATTAGTAAAACTTATACTACTAAATCATTATTATATAAATTTTTTTTTTAAATTCTTACATTCTAAAAATATTTTCTGGTTTTAAACAACCTGAAAAGGGTTGATAAGCCATAGAAAACAAATCAACCAACCAACTTTTCACTGAAGCAGATGTTAAATGCATGAGAGTATTATCATCTATTTCTTTCTTTCATATTATGGATGCTTTTTTTATTGTTATTAAAACTGGACATTGCTGATATATCTTTTTCTTTAATCTTTCATTATAATAAAAACAGAATGCTCCATTATCTGAGATAATGGCAGAGTGTAATACCATTTGCTAACTTACTAATAAAATGAAAGAGAATTATAATATGATAAAACAGAATCCAAAAATTAGCAATTAAATAAACAAGAAATATAATAGAAACTCACAGGTAAAGATTTAATCCAAAAACTTAATATAAAATGCAGTTGGACAAATTACATGAATGTAACTGACTGATATACACTATTTAATAGGATTTTTAAAATTTAAAACCTTTTTTTCAGATGTATAACAACAATACTTGCCTTAAAAGTTCTGAAGTAATCTTGGTATTATGATATTAGTCAAGCTATAACAATCTTGTAAAACCAATATTGGCCCTTGAAAACATTAGACAAGTAATCACAAACACTCTCAAACAAAGACAAAAGCAGTAAGAAAATGTGGGGGGAGGGGGAAATGCTCAAACATAATTTTGAAGATAACACAAAAACAACACCACCACCAACTAAAATACACACACACAAACAAAAAAAAGAAAAAAAAAGAAAAAGAAAAGAAAAAAAAAGTACATTTGTACCCACAATGCTCCAATAAACTCCACTGCAGTATAGCAGTCCAAGGAGAAGTAGTGGGACTATAACTAATACAAGACTAACAAAATGAAATATAACTTACCCCATAGGAGGGGGAACAACATTTTCCATTTCATGTAGAAGAGGATTCATTTGACACCTATTGGAGCTTTCAACACGAGTGGGTTTGGGTCCAACTGGGGGTTGGCCAGGTGGTACAGTGGTGGAGGTAGGTGAAGGAGGTACAGGTGCTGAGACAACTCTCTGACTGTTACCATTCACCATTTGATTTTGGTTGGTAGCTGCAAGGGAAGAGAGAAAGAAATCGATGCAAAAAAAAATATTTGTTTAAGGGATGAGCTAAAAGGCATGTGTAAAAGTTCCTAGAACCACCTTCTTATTTTTTAACATTAGAAACTGAAATTCATACACAGATGTCCTCAAAGACACATAGCACAATGGATAAAGGCATTGGTTAGATCCAGTGACAGGGCCCAAAGAGTGTGAGTTCAATACCCGGTTAAGGCAGTGGAGAACTTTCAGAGGGAAATTAACAGGAGATAACTGATAACTGACATCCATTAAACATGGTAAATGGAACTAGGACAGTCCAACTCAATGAGTAAAATAAAGGGTTAAGTTCAACATTCCAATCACCTGAAGAAGGCTGGAGCATACAACAGCCGAAATGTTGTAATAAATATGGCGACAAAGATGAGGACAATAGTCCGAATAATCTACTAGAAACTGAATGCACAATAGAAAAAAGTTAATGAAAAATGCTGGAAACTTTTCCAAGCACCAAATAGTCCCATATTTTCTGTGGGTTACCCAACCTGACTTCACCAAACACCCATTAGGTGGTGCTGTTTAAGTTCTATAAAAAGACAAACATATCTTCTCTCTACCTCATGCTCCAAGATGTATCAGACATAGACAAAAGCATCCCTGCTGGGAACATATCTTTGCTTGGTCGACTGAACTCTTACACACACACACACACACACACACACGCACGTATCACATACATGCACAATTCTTAAACCACTAAGTTAATTTTTGTGTCTTTTTTCCTTTTTAACTGTGTACACAGTAATGTAATTTCTCTTTGTTAATGCATGCATTGTTTATTTAAAATCCATGTTGTGTGTTTTATTTTTACCCAGGCTCACATGAGTCCACTAAATATTGTTTTCAGGACAAATGTGCCAGGTACCATTAAATGTGTATGGAAAAACATCAACACCATGCAACATTTCCACTAAAGGGAGTGATTTGGGTTCCAGTACTGTCAAAAGAAAGAATTTAGAATGCTGATTTTTCAGGCAAGCACACATGAATATGTAACAGCATCTCCTTGTTTTTGTTATCCCTGCATCTGATTTTGTGCAAGACACAAATAGTCTTAATAAATATCAATAAAAGGAAAGAAGAAAATTAATGTTGAAAAATACAAATGTAAATAAATGAAGATAAAGAAAAACAAAAATAAAATCATATATATATATATATATATATATAGGCAGAGAGCATAGTAACAAAAAATGGTTTAAAGCATGTGGTGGGGAGTAGGCGAAAAAAAAAAAAAAGCAAAAGAAAAAAAACAACTATGTTAAAAGGAAAAAAAAACAAAAACAAGCAAAATAGTAATGAAATAAAGTCGAGAAAGAAAGCAAAATGTACTAAAAGAAAACAATCTAGGAAAAAAACGTAAACAACAGAAACCAAAAAAACACGAACAAAAGCAATTCAGAAAAGCAAACCCCAACACTGTTATAGCAATTTTATTTTTATAAATAATTTTTTCTAAAATTGTCATTGGTAATTTCAATCAGAGTTGTCTCCCTTGGTTCAAAAATACTTTAATACTTTTTAAAAGTGTTTTCAAGTAGTTCGGGCTCTGTCTGGTTAATTGAACTTCTTTATGTTGTTACCAACGTTTCAAACTTCATTGGATGTAGAATTCAGAAGGAAAGCGAAGTGTCATAAAAAAAAGAAAATGAAAATGAGACCTCACCTCTACTTTGCAAAATGTGGTTTTTGGTGTGGGTTGCAGTAAAAAAAAAAAAAAAAAGTTTGAAAAATGTTGTGGTAGATGATTCTCAGCTTTTATGCATATAAATGTTTGCATGGACATAATTACTAGAGGCGGTGATTTGTGATTTTGTTGAAGTTATATTTTAGAATACAGTTTGATTTAAGAAATTGTAGGATATTATATGGACTAATGATATGAAAGTTCTTTTATGTTGGTTGCTTGGTAATATTTTAAATGGATTTGGGTGAAGACTGGATATAGGGGAAATTGAGGGAAAGTTAAAAGATGAACGAGATTCAAGAAGACAGAAGATGGCGATTGACATTGCATTTGAAGATTGTAGTCATCAGGGAAGCAAGGAAATGGAAGGAGTTCCACAGGCGGAAAGTGCAAGGAAAGAAACTGCTAGAGTAGAAGTGGCAGTTACATTTAATTATTTCAACAGTAAAAGGGTGGGACATAGATGCCAATCTAGTAGCATGCTTAAATTCATGTAGTCAGGGCACTAGAAAAAAAAAAAACACTTCAGAACAGTTGCCATGAAAATATTTGTAGAAAAGACATAGGGAAGCCACGTCATGTCTATGAGAAAGTGACTGGAGCCGAGATGCCAAGGCAGGATCGGTTACATTGCAGATCCTTCTTTGGATTCTGTCAAGAACTCAGAGATGAATAGAAGGGGCACCAGACCAGATGTGGTAACAGTATTCAATGCATGAACAAATAGTAGAGTTGTAAATGTCCAAGATGGACTAACAAGAAAAACTTTTTGGCACAAGTGATCCAACTTTCCTTGCAGTAGATGCAGCTATTGATTCAATTTGTCCGTATGTACGTACTGTTAATTTTTTTTTATATAAAAATGTATTGCTGGCATTTTTAGTATAAAAATGTATTTTTATACTTTTATAGTTTCTTGTTCTTGGTGGTTCACAATTTGCTCATGGCTGGAACCTTAACAGGTGCGACTACTCTGGGTCAGGGTGGACCTGGGAACAACAACAATAAAGAGGCGTTTCCACCCTCCTCAAAACCTTGAATCTCCCGATCAGAGGTCTCGCTGCCAGATGTACTTTATCATCATACCTAGGACTCCACTCAAAGAGAGGATGATAAGCCAATATACTGTCAATTACAGTTATTTTAATAAGCAAGTTTCTTGTCAGAGAATTGTTCCATTCTCATTGCATCAAGGAATTTGTTGAAAACCATAAGTAACCCATTAACTGCAAAGGAGGAGAATTTCAGTTTATACAAAATAAATTCAATGAGAGTGACAAAGATATCCATTTCATTGTGACTGACAAAAATTCAGCTTTGGAAGTACAAACATCAGAAAGGCACTCCTTTTTGCAACCAGTCAGTACCCACAAGCTATTTCGGCAGAGAGAGTAATTTCAATTTTTTTCTTTTCTCCTCAAAGCCTGGCACATTCCAAACTTTACTCTTCTAAAAGAAATTAATTTTTTTTTTTTTTTTTTACAGCTTATCAAACTTTTGCAGGTTATTTAAAGCCAGAAAATATTTTTTAGATTTTGGGGGATTATAATGATTCTTACTGATACAAGTCTTACTAATTAACCCATAGCTGGGGGTAAGAGGTGGATTCATACTTTTCCCAAAGGTATTTGCAGAGAAGTGAATATAATGAACCCAACTGGAATTACAATTGAGTAATGAGTTCAGTCCTCCCTGTGTGCCCCATACTTTCGGTCTTGTGTCACATCTAAGCTACACTTAGTAAATCACTATTCTTGGGCCCTGATGTGGTGTAATGATTAGAAAGCTTGTCTTGCTAGATCAATTATGATTGAGTAGTGAGTTCAATACTTACTGGGTGCTCCTTATTCTCGGCCTTGTGCTACAACTATACTTAGTAAATCACTATATATTCACTGAAATAGTTTGGGAGCATCTGGATATTTATTTTGTGAGAATTGACAACAAAAAAATTTACTTATTAGATTGTTTATTCAGAGAAATAGAATTTAATACTTTTGTTGTCAATTCTTGAAAAAAAAAAAAAATATATGCATGAATTCAGTTTCAAACGTTTGGGTTTTATTGAATTTCTAAAAATAACTTTGTAAAGCAATAAAAATCATTTTTTTTTTTTTTTTGTGGTTACAAATGTCAAACTTTGCCAAAAGATAATTCACAAAGTAACAACATATAATGAAAAATAAAAAATAATAAAATGCAAATATTCAAATAACAATTCAATTATGTGCCATGCGTAATACACAGGCAATCATGTATCTTTCGACTAGGCAGATTTTTCCCCGCAGTATGTTGCTATTTCTTTCTGCAGTAGACCAGTTGCTATCCAAGGCTATAGAATCCAGTCTGTCCTGCTATTTACCTATAGCTGGAGGGAGAAGAGGATTCATACCTTTCCCAAGGATATTAGCACATAAGTGAATGTAATGGATTCAACTGGAGTTTGAACTCGGCTTTCCGATTCCTTAATCCGAGCTGTTATCCATTACTCCACTATGCCTCCTAATAACAATTATCAAGTAAATATTGCAAATAATGCAGTCAACTTGATTTCAGATTTAAAGGAAGGCAAGCACCAAGAGACCTGGGGTTGGACTTAAATATAGAGAAGCATTCAGCTGTAGAGTCTGCCATTTAATTAATTGCTAACAGAAGTAATCTTTCATGCTTATGCATCAGATTATAAAGCCCTAAGCTACAGGAAGCTAAAGAGGCCATATTTAGCAAATGGTAATAAAAGTAAGTCCCTACTCTTGCTATACCACTGTGAGGCTTCTTCACATTGCAATACACTAAGCTGTACAAAAAAAAACAAAAAAAAAAAACAACGCACACAAAAAAAAAAAAACCTTTTAGTAAGTACTAACAGAAATAAACCCCAAATATTTGCTGCATCAGTGGAATCATTCAAAAACTAAAAGAAGTCCCTCATCTTTATTCCAGAACTATTAAGCCTCCTTCTTCTAGTCAAGACCTAAACTACAATTTAGACCTAATTTAAGAGGGACTTACCTTTAAGATAAATCCCAGCCTCCACTAAACTCCATTGGGTTTACACTTGAAATGCATATAAAAATGTTGGCATATTTGGAAAATTTAATTTTTAGTTTTGAGTTATATGTCCTTGACTCATGTACAAAAAATTAAACCCATGGAGGACAAGATAAAAAAAAAATATATTTAGAGAAAGTATAAACACTCTTTAATCATCATATTCCTTGAGCAGATGATATATTGATGTGTTTGGAATATTAGTAATACTGATAGCTTCTAAGAATATGGTATAACTACTCAGTTGGCTATAAAGTACATCACACGCAGGTTTTGTTGCCAGATTACAGTCTATAAGTCTTTATATAAACATGCACCAAGAACACCCTACCAAAATATTTGAAGAATTTGACCATGAAAAGAAGGAAAAAAAAAAAAAAAAAAAACAATTTTTTAGTACTTCATTTCCCATCATTGTCAAAAGAAAGTATTTCAGGGGTTATACTGAAACTAATTAATAAGCTATATAGTATATTTGCTATATAGTAGACAAAAAACCCACTAAGTTTTATGATGTCAACACTCATTGCCACTTTTGTGATGTCAATGAATACTCATTGTCACTTTCGTAATGCTCATTGTAGCAGAGACTTTGTAATCGCAGATACAACTATAGTATGCCGTTGAACAATACTGGTGTGAGACGCCTTCAAATAACACTCGCATTAATAGTACTTACTTGATAATACTCGCTTGAATAGTAATCCGTATAGTGGTCTGAATAGAGGAATAGTATAGTAAATAGAGTAGAGAATAGCGGCCCATATAGTAATAGAGGATAGACTAGAAATAGCGATCTGAATAGTAATAGAGGATAGAATAGAAATAATGATCCTCTAGATGTCACATGACTTCCTATATATGAGTTTCCTCTATGGTCATGTGATCTACTTAATTCAATAATGGGATCACCTATGTTTGCTCACTGGTGATCTATGTTCGAACTCAAGTGTTGGCAGTGACACTTTATTCCTATATAACATGAAATTTGTGTTGTTGCATCTTGATCAGTACCCCAGGAATATATCTTTAAGTTTCAAATAGATAAGCTAAGACAATTATACTTTTTGGGGGAGAATCCACTCAGGACATTCAAATTCCAACAACAAACATTCTAGGACAAAGCGTTTCATTTGAATATTTAATAAAAATTGTAATGTTTTTAGCATTAAAGAGGTTTTAAATTTATTTGGATTCAATAATTTTTTCAAATAAAACCTGTTTTTCTCTCACCAGTATTTTTCCTATAAAAACACAAAAGAAATACTCAAGGCAATATATAACAAGAAAATTAAGAACTAAACAATATGGTGTATTTAAAAACCCTATGGTACTAATGCTATGAAAGTGCCCCACAGGCAGAGCCAGATTATAACCTTTTGGGGTCCCAAGGTTAATGAAATTATAGAGGCCCTCCTTAGATGGTAACACCATCTACCTTGCCTGCAATCATCTTGAATATATTTTAGCAACATTTACATAGCTTGAAGTAAATTTATTGCAAATTCTTTAAATAAACTAGAATAGCTATCTTTTGTTTGCCAATAAAAATATTCCTTAAGAAATAGCACTGGTGCATAATTATCAGGCATTTTCGTAGACAAGTTATTTGTTAATAAAAATGACCGTTTTGTTTACTTTTTCTAAAAAATTATTATTTTATTTTCAGGTTATAAAAATGTGTGTTGATAATCATACACTCCAGAATAATAATCTAAAAAATTTTATTGTTGAAGTATTATGTTTTTTTATCATAATAAATATTATTTAAAAACGCCTGATAATTATGCACCAACCCAATATTTATTGCAAAACAAATTAGCACATATTTCAACGCAATCATAGAAACAAAAAGAAAAGAAAAAAAAAAAGATTTTATAACCAGTGTTATAACAATAAAACAATCAAAATAAATGAGTTTGTCATAGTGATATCATTTTAATTTATGAAACTACTTAGAAGTTATAACATCTAGAAAATTAAAATTATTGCTAATGTCTAAGATTTAAACATTCTGAAATAAAATCAAAACTGTTATCTATTTGAAACACAATGACAGAAATTACTAAAACATTCTTTGCTTTGCTTTCTGTAGAGCCAAATAAAAATGAATTTGTTATACTGATATCATTTCATTTCTACAAGTTATAACATAACCTGGGATTAAATACCGATGAAGTGTGAATTGGAATCCAACAAAATGATAAGATAAAGAACAAATTGGAAATGTTTATCAGCCTAACACATTTTACTTTTATTAATTCTCCGATGAAGTTTTAATTAAAGTGAAATATGCTAGAGTGATAAATGTTTAATATTTAACTTATAACATCTAGAAAATTAAAATCATTGTTTTATTAATACCTGAGGGGCCCTAGATGCAGCCTATACTCACCTGCAGTACTAATGTAGGGTTAAATAAAAAGAGATAGAAAATTCAATTCTGCTACCAGAATTTAACACTTACATGCATTTCTACGGTTGACCTGATCAATAAACTGGGCTGAGTTGAGATCTTGAAGGAGCTGATCCAACTCCGAAAGGTTACTATTAACTGTTGAAGACATCTGGCCGATGGTACTTGAACCGACACTGGTATTGGTGCTGGGTGAGCTAAGGGGCTTGCTGTTATAGTGGACAGGGCTGACTCCTTGCAGACTGGACTGTGAGTGTGTTGAACTTGAGCTGCTTCTCTCTTGATGATAGGTAGCTGTGCTGCTGCCACTGGACACTCGCTCACTGCTATAGCTGTGTTGTTGCTGTTGGTGGCTTGAGTTTTCTTGTATAATGTGTTGCTTTACACCTGACCGTCCAGCAATCTGGAAGATACAAAGAAAGAAATTCACTGACCATATAAGTTTTTACTATAAGCTATGTTTATCATTATTTTTTTTTTCCCCTTTAAGAAGGAATTTCAGCCATCCTGAGTTGCTTAGGCCAAATACATTCCTGCAAGTTGCTGGAGGCAGTGGGTGAATGTTTTTATCAAAATACTATCTTCTGATAAATTGCCAACTAAGGTTAAAGAATTTAATTCTGTCCATCAATTAAGGTTGGTTGATTATTTTGTTTTACGGCATATCAAGCTCAGTCCATCAATTGAGGACCTAAGTACAAGTACAATCACTGACTGATTCCAAACAGTTTTGTGTGTCCAATTTCACTCACAAGACCGAGTCAAACCTTGCTATTGTTTCCAGTACTTTACAATGGTCTCTTCAAGACAATATTATCAAGAACTTACTTCCTAGGTCACATGGTCAGATTACTACTACTCTAATCATTTGGTTATTGTTATGGGAACTTACCTATAACGATAATGGACTCTTTCTGATACTATAAATACTGCACCTCTCAAGAGGTATAATGAATGAATGGTGTAACGAGTCGAGACAATATTAGTTCACTCTAAACCAGACGGATAGTCATTACTAACACCTTCAACTTCTTGTACTATATTTCTGTTGTAATATATCTTTGTTATTCTACTCTTGTGTTTGTGTTGTTCTTCCTTGGTTCAAACCTTGGACCATAACCGTGGTGCGAGGATATTAGACCATAACAGTTATATATCCATTCTCTGTTTGTTCACATCTCCCTATATATCCACTTACATTTCCCAAAAACACTACCATTACTCTCACAGATCCATAAATATTTCATAATTTTCTACAAACAGTTATTTGCAATAATTTTAAGTATGTATAAGGGAGAACTTTCTTTAAAGAAATGAAACTTCTGTTACAAATTACTTTACAACAAATCGATTAATGATTCTGTTGAAATAAAAAAAAAACAAAAAACATTTATATCATTAAACAACAATAAAAAAAAAATTGACAGGGTTAAAATATTTTTTCCTGTTGTAACATATACAGCAATATGACTTCAGCAAAGAGAGTTATGGATAGCAAGATCAAAGTACATGTTTCACACTTCTACTCTAGCAGTTTATTTTCTTGCGGAATTCTCTTCTGACTTGCTTTCTTGATAACTACAATCTCTAAAAAATTAAATGCAATGTTAATTATCATCATGTCATCTTGAACCCTGTTCCTTTTTTATCTTATCTTCAATCATCCCCACTAAAGACTTCTCTTTCCTTCCCTTTAACTCCCTGCATTCTTTTGGCATTATCACCTTGTTTGGGATAAAACGATAAAAAAACTAAAAAAAATAAATAAATAAATAATAAAAAATGAAAAAAAAAAAGAAAAAACATTGTGTTATTCCATGAATGAAGCAACCACCTGATATTAACAATACTAATGTTGCAAATCACATTATTAATCAATGAATAAACATTCACTATGGTATTTGCAGAGAAGCCCAAGGCTTCAGATACAGTGGTGCTGCACATTAGACCGTTGAAAGTGGTTAGCCTGAGCCTTAATTGAAAAAAAAAACAAAAAAACAAAAAACAAAAAACAAAAGGTAATCTTGTCTTGTTCAACTTTCTGCCTAAGTTTTAGTTTTGGGTCATCATCCATCCCTGAATGACCCAACTTTGAAATTTTGGTTAATTTGAACATCCTGTGAAAAGAATATCATATAGACCTTTCAAGGCTTAATAACAAACTTGAGGTGATGAGAAACAAGTTTTAAAAACCAAAGTTTAAAACTTTTAAAGACAACATGTGAAGACAATTTTGTGACAGAAATCCATACAGAGATTGGAATACCACATCCAAACAGGATTTAAAACAAAACAGCTTTAAAACTCAAATATAAGACTAAGTTTAAAAAACAATAGTTAGGATAATTTAAAATCTTTCTTATTTTTTTTCACTAATTCACTCCAAGCAAGGTGATGATGATGCAAGGAGCTACTGGGAATGAAAGAGGAACAAAAGACTTTAGAAGGAGCCAGAAATGCAATCCTAAACTGGAAACAAGGGATAAACCTGTGCTCTTGTTCAAAAACAGTTGTAGGTTTAAGTTCTTGTATAATAAAGTGGTTTAATGAACCAACACACACTTAAGCTCAGGGCTCATACAAGTACTGATATTGTTACATTGGGACCACCACCCACCACAAACAGAAATGTAAGTCTATCAAAAGTATATATTTAAGTTCCTGACTGAAATCCAGTTTTAAAACCTCAAACTTACAAAGGTGATGACCAAAATCTACGACTGAAAACTTTGAAACTACAAGGGTTGGCTGAAAAGTTCATAAGCTAACCATGATACTCTCATAGAATGTGATCAAATGTTGTTTATTTTTCAACATAGTTCCTCTTGCTGTCCACACACTTCTTCCATTAATGTTGCAGTGGTTGGATCTCATTGATGAAGAATTTTTCATCCTCTTAGTCAAAAAATCATCAACAGAAGATATGACATTATCACTGTAATACTGATTCCCAGCCAAGTGTTTTTTTTTTTTCATTTTGGGGAATAGATGTGAGCCAGATCAGGAGAAAAGGGAGGGTGATCAACCATTTCAAGCCACAGTCATGCACAGCAGCCATTGAAACCAAGAACTTGAGTGCTTGACCATTGTACTGATTAAACAAGACACCTTTAATTAGTTTTTCTTGGCATTTGGTCTTGATAGCCTCAGCAAGTTGGAATAATACTCTCTATTGATGGTGTGGCCCATTTGAAGATGGTCAATAAACACAATACCTTTTGCATCCCAAAAAACTGAGGCCATCAACTTCCCTGCAGATGAAACAACCTTGGCCTTCTTTGGAGCAGATGAGGAGAGGTGTTTCTACTGCATGGCTTGTGTCTTTGTCTCTGGCACAAAGTAATGAACCAAACTCTCATCCTGGGTTAGGAAACTGTTATGGTCCGGTTCCTTGCACCACGGTGATAGTCCAAGGTAGAACCAATAAAGAAGAACTCGAACACAGGTATGGAATAACACAGATATATTACAAACAGGAATATATACAGAGAAGTATAAGTGTTAGTACAAACAATCAGGTTTAGTCTCGACCAGTATCACTATTCCAATGTCTTGCAGTAATTGTATGAACGTGACTGTTTCGGACTGCCTCTGACTCGACTTGAACTACTGACTGACTCCTTGCCTACTCCTGAGGTGCAGTATTTATTAAGTATGGAATAGTCCATTATTATTATTATTATGGGTAAGATCCCATAACAGAAACATTCAAGGAAGCCAGCTGGATCTGCCTCAAACAATGTCAGATTTTCCTATGATGATATCTGCCTGGTGCTCTTTTGATCATGTATCAGAAAATGTGGCAACCATGGAACAGTTATTTGATTTATACTCAAGCACATGTCATCCATCACCATGTAGTGAACAAGATCAATGTTTTCCTCGGTGGTGGCAGTTGAAGGACATCCAGATCTTGAGTCATCTTCAAAACTCCTTTCTCCTCCAAAATTCAGCAGCCCACTTTTGCACTGTTGATAAAGCTGGAGTGTTACTCCTTAATGTAGCAACCATGTTAGTACAAGTGTTCTTGGGAACTAAACTCTTTTTCGGCAGATACTTGATAACACCAAGATACCAAATTTTGTCTACTTTCAAAAGAAGTTACTACTAGTTACATTTGAAGTCTTGTTTAAACAGTCAGATGCCAGTTTACCTGGAAAGTTACTACTAGTTACATTTGAAGTCTTGTTTAAACAGTCAGATGCCAGTTTACCTGGAAAGTTACTACTAGTTACATTTGAAGTCTTGTTTAAACAGTCAGATGCCAGTTTACCTGGAAAGTTACTACTAGTTACATTTGAAGTCTTGTTTAAACAGTCAGATGTCAGTTTACCTGGAAAGAAAATACAGTTATTAATAAGAGTTGAAATTAATGCTTACAAGATTTCATAGCTCTAGCATTACTCCATAGCCTATGAACCTTTCAACCCAACCTTGTAAGATATGCTTTAAATACTAACAGCAAATTCATGAGTGATGCTTTTGAACAACAATACTAAATTCCCATGAGTTTCAAAGGGACATAATTCTTGTTTACCTATTTAATAATTCTTTGACCTTTGAAGCGAAAAGTACTTTGAATATTTACTTTGACACTACAAGTATCAAAGACCCAAAGGAGAACTAAATACCTATGCCACTGTTTAGCTCTTCCCTAATAGGCTGAGCACAAAAATAAAAAAATATGATCATGAAAGTGATCCACCTTGTAGCATCAGCAGACATCTGCTACTTTTCCTGTCTTCAGAAAGTCAGTCAAATATTTATTTTTGAGAGCCCCAGTCTTTGCGTTAAGAGCTTATAAACAACTCAAAAGGCATAGGTATGATGACAACAACAGCAGTAAGTGGGCAAATGGAATATGGTAAGACTCAGGATGAAAACCACAATTTTATATTCCTATCACAAAGTACAAGAGAAAAAAAAAGATAAAAGGAGGAGAGAAAAAAAAAGATAAAAGGAGGAGAGAAAAGAAAATAAGAGGAAAAAGAGAGAGAAAATAAGAGGAAAAAGAGAGAGAAAATAAGAGGAAAAAGAGAGAGAAAATAAGAGGAAAAAGAGAGAGAAAATAAGAGGAAAAAGAGAGAGAAAATAAGAGGAAAAAGAGAGAGAAAATAAGAGGAAAAAGAGAGAGAAAATAAGAGGAAAAAGAGAGAAAATAAGAGGAAAAAGAGAGAGAAAAGAGCAAAGAGAGAGAGAAAAGAGCAAAGAGAGGAAAGAAAAGAGAGGAAAGAGAGAGAGAAAGAGAGAGAAAGAGAGAGAGAAAAGAGAGAGAGAAAAGAGAGAGAGAGAGAGAGAAAGAGAAAGAGAGAGAGAAAGAGAGAGAGAGAGAGAGGAAAGAGAGAGAGGAAAGAGAGAGAGAAAAGAGAGAGAGAAAGAGAGAGAGGAAAAGAGAGAGAAAAGAGAGAGAGAAAAGAGAGAGAAAAGAGAGAGAGAAAAGAGAGAGAAAAGAGGGGAGAGAAAAGAGAGAGAAAAGAGGGGAGAGAAAAGAGAGAGAAAAGAGGGGAGAGAAAAGAGAGAGAAAAGAGGGGAGAGAAAAGAGAGAGAAGAGAGAGAGAGAGAAAGAGGGAGAGAAAAGAGGGGAGAGAGGAGAGAGAGAGAAAAAGGGGGAGAGAAGAGAGAGAGAGAGAAAAGAGGGGAGAGAAAAGAGGGGAGAGAAAGAAAAAAGAGGGGAGAGAGAGAAAAAAGAGGGGAGAGAGAGAAAAAAGAGGGGAGAGAAAAAAAGAGGGGAGAGAGAGAAAAAAGAGGGGAGAGAGAGTAAAGAGGGATTAAGATGAAAAAGAGAGCGGAGAGAACAAGAAGAGAGAGAGAACAAGAGAGAAGAAAGAACGAACGAGAAGAGGGAAGGGGAGGGCAGAGAGAAGAGGGAGGGCAGAGAGAAGAGGGAGGGCAGAGAGAAGAGGGAGGGCAGAGAGAAGAGGGAGGGGAGAGGGGGGGGGAGGGCAGAGAGAGGGAGGGGGAGGGCAGAGAGAAGAGGGAGAAAGATTTGAGAGAGTAGAGAGAGGGCAGAAAATGAGAGGTGTGAGACAAAAAACAAGTGAAAAGAGAGAGAATGAAAGGATAGAGAAAAAAAGACAAAGAAGAAACATTTTTTATCACACAATGAAGATGTGGATGTGTTATAGCAATAATAAATATGAAATATATCCTTTTGTAACACAAAAAGGTTTCACTTCTGTTATTTCACCTGCTAATGATTCTATAACTATGAAAATTGGAAATTATTTTTTTCTGATATTTGTCACTTTGTTTCAGTGTTTTCATATTGTCTCTTAAATCATTTGTAAGTTTTTGTATTCACCATCTGTACACCCCAGTTCCTCAGAGTTCCTTCTTAAGAGATGCTATCAGGAGGGACCTGTGAGCACCCGCATTCCCCCACCCTAACTACCCAAGTATAGTATGGTGTAAGGACTCACAGTCATATCATGGCCATTCTCTTTCATCGCAGCTAGCCTTGCCACTCTGTGACTAGCCGATTGGATTGGATTGGGCTATTCCATCCACCCATCTATCCCGGGTTTGGACCTAAGTGGTGTGTTGTGGAAACACCTGGCCATTTTATACCAGGTCAGGAGTCACTCAGTCACTGGAACTCTGTTCCTGGGTGTCATGGGTCACCACCCATGGCAAACAGGTGGCCCCAGTGAGGGGTATTTGTAGATTTTGGAAATCAGTTTCCGTAAAAGTGTGCTGTATATATTGCAATTTATAGGTATTTTTGCATGAACAGGTAGTTTAGGCATAAAATTTTGTGTAAACAGTTTGTGGATTATGATTTTATTGTTAGTTTAAAAGGTGTCTATTTTTTTTTTTTTGCGATAGATTGTATGGAAAAACTATATTTTTCCTGAAGGTATCATCCTAGGTATAAATGGATAGGTTGTAGGCTTATCGTATAAGCTGACGGCATGTAGGTGAAGCCATCTTGCTTCCTACACTACACTTTGTAGTAGTATAATGTCCTATGCAGAATATAGGTGAACTTGTTTTATGAAAAAAATCCATGATTGCAGTTTAACTTCATACCCAGAATACAGATGCAGTTTAACGTCCTGCTCAGGGTATGGATACAGCTTAATATGGATACGGAAGCAGTTAATCGTCGCGCCCAGGATACGGAAGCAGTTAAACGTTGTGCCCAGGATACGGAAGCAGTTAAACGTCATGCCCAGGATACTATCACTAGGTGAAAACAATATGGTATAGATGAAAATTGGAGATGGAAAAATTTAATTAAAATATGAACTTTGCTGGTTAGTTTCCATGGCCAAATTGATAGGGTGTCAAAATTTAAGCCTCATTGATTTTAACATAAAATCAGCATCCTCCATCAAGTGTTCCAAGAAATGAACTCATAATAAACCTTTCCAAAACAGAAACTAAATTGAAGTTATGACACTGACCCTGAATCCATCATAAAAATTCAGAATGTGCAATTAATAAATACTAAACACTTTAGATACCTCAGCATATGGATCAGTTATAACAAAGTATAAGAGAAAAAGAAATTTAACATAGAATAGACTGTTCCAAAGTTAGTAGCACTCAACATTATAAATTGCTACAAAACCGAAGCATCAACCAAATTCATGTTCTTAAATGGCTTTGTAAGACTTTCATATGGATGGCATGCATGGCTCCAAACTCGAGAAATATCTAAACTATTAACTGTATACAATCGTTTCCTAAGATCAATAGTGAAAAAAAGGCTTTGAGTGAGTAAATTCTGAAGACCTTGTCAAAGATCATCATTCTTTGGAAATTGTGGACTGGCACTACAGAATCGTAAAGAACTGTACCAAATAACAGAAATCATATCAATTGAGGACAACCCACAGCAGCAACATCTAAAATGAATAGCACATATAACTTGAAGAGAAAATAATGTCAATCAAGATGTTGACATTCCACACCACTTAAAACATAAGGTTAGGAAGGAAACCCCCCATCAATACTGGAAAGAGGAACAACAGCTACGGGACTTAAACTGTTTTTCGAAAAAAGTGTTTTAGGAGAAAGATTTTATAAACTTCAACCAAAAGTAGAACTGGCTGCTCAGTTAATAAAATGCCAAAATGTTTCCTTATAAAAAAACAAAAAAAACATAGCTGATATTACGATATAACTAATATTGCCATTAGGAAATGGCTAATATTACCATTACCAAACAGCTACTATTGCCATAACCATTATCCCCCCAATGCTTACTTAAAAAAACAACAAAAATGAAACAGCAAAAATGAAACAGCAAAAATGAAACAACAAAAATGAAACAACAAAAATGAAACAACAAAAATGAAACAAGCCTGAAATTAATACCAATGAAAAGAAGTCAAATTACTGTCACAGTACAAACCAATATTTCTCTTACCTGCTCTCCTGATGGATGAGGTGGAAGGGGAGATGGTGTAGAATTCCTAGGTGAGGATTGTGAACTTGCTGTGTTAGAACGTTGATTGGCTTGATCTCGTTCCACCTGTTGCTGAAATGACGAAATATGTGCAGTAGTGGACTGGAGGTCAGCCAGGAGTGCGTCTGGAAAGAAAAAAAAAAAACAGAACAATAAATAATAGTTAGTCAGTTATGTGCCACGTGTGATACACGCTTAGGCAATCATGTATCTTTTGATACATGATTGACGAGGCAAATTTTTCCCCATAGTAGGTTGCCAATACAAGAATGGCAAGGACATTACCCATCTTACCAGATACTTATTTGCAATAAATAATAGTTAGTCAGTCAGTTATGTGCCACGTGTGATACACGCTTAGGCAATCATGTATCTTTCAATACATGATTGACGAGGCAAATTTTTCCCCGTAGTAGGTTGCCAATCCAAAAATGGCAAGGACATTACCCATCTTACCAGATACTTTTTTGTAATAAATAATAACTAAAAAAAAAAAGGATGGGCAATATCCTTACCTGTAAAAAGTGACATGGTTCAAGATTATTGATCACATTACTTTTGTAGTTACTATGTTTTTATGTAGTGTTTTTCATATATATAATCTGTAAGAAAAGGATCTGTTTTCTCAAGAAAAAACATTATAGATTCTTTTGTTGTTACTGTTATCTTTCGGTCAATCCATTCTATATCTTACCTTCTATAATTTCTAGAAAAGTCATTATCATACCAAGAATTGTTCAGACTATTGAACTCATTCACATCGTCTGTGAGAAAACTGCCAGAAATTTGAAAACATGCTGTACTGCTTGGCATCCATGCTAGAAGCTCTAATACAAACATTTCAGGGTGTTTGAGTAGAGTTGAATGAGTTTAATGATGATAAAGGTGTTTGGAGTGATCACTAGTGATAGCAATGTTATGCCTCCATTCATCTTCCCACAAGGCCTCAAACAATATGGAGACCTACATCAAGTACCTTGAGAAGGTAGTGTTGCTGTGGGTCAAGAGGGTGGCTGCTGAAAAGATCCTATGTCTGGCAACAGGATTCTGCACCATGTCATACAAGCAGGAGAAACAAACCTTACATCTGGCCACTTAACTAGCCAGACTGCAACTCCCTTGATTATTACATGTGGAGTAAGAGATTAACAAAACTTCTTTTAATACCAAAGATGAACTAAAGGCAAGGATTATGGCAGCATTCATCAACTTAAACAAAGAGAACATCCAGAAGAGTTGCAGGAGATGCCAAAGTTGTCTGGAGGCCTTGGTTGAAGCCAATGTTTACTATTTCAAGGTATTTTTTATATAATTTTGGTAAATATATCTGTTAACATGAGATATCAGTGTTATTTTCATTTTTGTGTAATTTAGATGACACTTTATCCATCGCACCCTGTATATTAAATTAGATTGACGTTTATAAGCAGTAAATTCGACCTTGCCAACCAAACAATCCTTTGTGGCTGAGAGGTTAGGCATGTCAAGGTAAATGACGATTCCGTATAGGATGCAGGTTCAAATCCTGTCAAAGGACGAATATTTTCTATGAAAATTTCTCGGACATTCAGGCCGGTAAATGTTATTTAATACTGTTTATTATAAACAGAGCATTTACTAAAATACTTGTATCTATAAAAAGAATGTTAAACATAAAAATGTCTTTAATATATATATATATATATATAAATAAATAAAAAGGAAGCCAAAATGGGGAAACAGAACTAAGACAAAACTATAATAATAACCAGGAATATGTCTAAAGTTACCAACCTATAATGGTTATATGCTTCTCGATGGATTCCTGAAGAAGGCCAGAGCGTACTGAAACGTGATAAACATGGCGACAAAGATGAGGAGAATAGTCCAAATAATGTAAATAGGATTCCTGGTTGTTTGCAAAAACAAAATCCACCATCAGGCCATAATTATACAGTGGTATTAAGAATGTTTGTATTTTGATATGAGCAAAAGAAAATTTTAAGTTTTACCTGAAGCTATAGTTAACATGTTATGTGGTGAGTTTTTCACTTGCTTGGGGTGAAATGATTGGTTGGGGGAAGCAAAAAACTGCCAAAGTAGGTTTGGTTCAATAAACATTTCTCTTCTTAACCTTTAGAAAGCATGTGGAACTTGGTCTTTTCACAGAATGAATTCACACGATTAATCTCTGATCATTTTCACCTGTGTTTTTGGTTCCACAGCAAATTGAGCTCTTCATACTTCTTGTGGTTTCTCAAAATTCTGACATAAAACCATTTTTATACCAAACAGCTTTCATTACTCTTATTTGTATTCTTTCTGTGCCATGTTCCTTTTGGATGTAGGCGATCATGGCTCTCCACAATTTCTTGACCTTCATAGTTCTTAATAAATTTTGTCTAACCCTCTTGCATTTTGACTTTAGTATTGTCTTTGTTCACTTTCTTTTCCATGTGCTGTATCCCTTCAAAATGTTGGTGATCATGGCTCTCCACAATTTCCTGTCCTTTGTAACTCTTAATAAATTGTCTTTTTGTTAGCCCTCCTAAATAATCAAGATCACAAAGTATGTTATGCATTGTTTTCTTCTGTCCCTCATTTTAATCTCGTGTTTTCGAGAGAAATAAAGAAGACAAACTCGTAGGTAAATAAGGAAATAGAAGGTTTACTACACAAAGGTACTTAGCAACTGAGCTAATGCTAACTCTCAACTTCACTTACTTACATAAACAGATGATTCAATTCATTTATGTCCTATAAGACACCTTCTTGCTTTCAATCTGTCCTATGAGTATCAGATTTTCCAAACCCTATTTCCTCATTATGTGCCCTGAAATTTCAATCATCTCTTCCTGATGTTAAGTATAAGTTTCCTTTTTGTTTCCATTTTCTCTAAAATTTTGTCATTGCTCACATAGTCAGTCTATGGTATCCTCAGTATCCTTCTGTAGTACCACATCTGTTTTTCCAAGTCTGTTCATCTTTGGGATTGTCCAGCATTCACTTCCCTATATGATAGATAGATATCACGTAGCAGTTCAGTACTTTTTTCTTTGTTTCTAATGAAATTTTTTATTACTCGAGCATCTCTAAAGAAAAAAAAAAAAATTTTTTTTCTTTTTTAGACTCGGTAAGATTTCATGTTCTGCCTGAAATCCATCAAATATCTCCGAGTGCATTATGGTTGGAAGCAAATTAACCGTTTACTTAATGCAGCATTCAACTAATTATAATATCGACTTTTTTTTCTTCTATTTTAATTTTTTTAAATGTCATATCCCTCCAGGATATAGGCAACTATGGCTCTCCATAGATTCCTACTTTTTAATATCTGGGAATTGCGATAAACTCTTGGGACAATTAATGGTGTAATTGCTCACTGAATTCAAATCCATGGAGAATGCAAAGTAATCCATCTTAGACTGGTTTCTAACCCAAAATAGAGAGACAAGTCTATTCTGTTATTTAGCCCATAGCAATGGGGAGAAGGATTATATGCATAAGAGTAAAAGAGAAATAAATGCAAAGACATGGTTAAAGGGAAAGGCAAAGAGAAAAAAAGTGGCACAGATAGGGGAAAAGAGTGAGAGAAAATGAACTGAATGCAGTGGAGAGAAGAAATTAGAGAAAGTGTAAGAAAAGGTTGGTATGAATATCACAAAGAAAAAATTGTATGAAGGTGAAAAAGGAGAGAAAAAACATACAGGAGGTTGGGGGGAGAGAGAAACGGCACATACAGGAGGTTGGGGGGGAGAGAGAGAAACGGCACATACAGGAGGTTGGGGGGGAGAGAGAGAGAAACGGCACATACAGGAGGTTGGGGGGAGAGAGAGAGAAACGGCACATACAGGAGGTTGGGGGGGAGAGAGGGGGGGAGGAGGTTGGGGGAGAGAAACGGCACATACAGGAGGTTGGGGGGGGAGAGAGAAAACGGCACATACAGGAGGTTGGGGGGGGAGAGAGAGAAACGGGCACATACAGGAGGTTGGGGGGAGAGAGAAACGGCACATACAGGAGGTTGGGGGAGAGAGAGAAAGGGCACATACAGGAGGTTGGGGGGGGGGGAGAGAGAAAAGGCACATACAGGAGGAGGTTGGGGGAGGAGGTTGGGGGAGAGAGAAACGGCACATACAGGAGGTTGGGGGAGAGAGAGAGAGAAGGAGGTGGGGGAGAGAGAGACAGGAGGTTGGGGGAGAGAGAGAAACGGCACATACAGGATGGGGGGGAGAGAGAGAAACGGCACATACAGGAGGGGGGGGGGGGAGAGAGAGAAACGGCACATACAGGAGGTGGGGGGAGAGAGAGAAACAGGAGGTTGGGGGGGGAGAGACAAACAGGCACATACAGGAGGGGGGGAGAGAGAGAAACGGCACATACAGGAGGTGGGCACATACAGGAGGTGGGGAGAGAGAGAAACGGCACATACAGGAGGTGGGGGAGAGAGAGAAACGGCACATACAGGGGTGGGGGGGAGAGAGAAACGGCACATACAGGTGGGGGGAGGTGGGGGGGGGAGAGAGAGAGAACGGCACATACAGGAGGTGGGGGGAGAGAGAGATACAGGAGGTGGGGGGAACGGCACATACAGGAGGTGGGGGGAGAGAGAGAAACGGCACATACAGGAGGGGGGGGAGAGAGAGAGAAACGGCACATACAGGAGGGGGGGGAGAGAGAGAAACGGCACATACAGGAGGTGGGGGGAGAGAGAGAACGGCACATACAGGAGGTGGGGGAGAGAGAGAAACGGCACATACAGGAGGGGGAGAGAGAGAGAGAGAAACAGGAGGGTGGGGGAGAGACAGGCACATACAGGAGGTGGGGGAGAGAGAGAAACGGCACATACAGGAGGTGGGGGAGAGAGAGAGAAACGGCACATACAGGAGGTGGGGGAGAGAGAGAGACAACAGGAGGTGGGGGGAGAGAGAAACGGCACATACAGGAGGTGGGGGGAGAGAGAGAAACGGCACATACAGGAGGTGGGGGAGAGAGAGAGAGAAACGGCACATACAGGAGGTGGGGGGAGAGAGAGAAACGGCACATACAGGAGGTGGGGGAGGGAGAGAAACGGCACATACAGGGAGGGGGAGAGAGAGAGAAACGGCACATACAGGATGTGGGGGAGAGAGAGAGAAACGGCACATACAGGAGGTGGGGGGAGAGAGAAAGAGAACAGGAGGTGGGGAGAGAGAGGCACATAGGGGGGGGAGAGAAAGAGGAGGTGGGGAGAGAGAGAAACGGCACATACAGGAGGTGGGGGGGGAGAGAGGAGGTGGGGAGAGAGAGAAACACATACACAGGAGGGGGGGAGAGAGAGGTGGGGGAGAGAGAAACGGCACATACAGGAGGTGGGGGAGAGAGAGAGAGAGAAACGGCACATACAGGAGGTGGGGGAGAGAGAGAGAGAGAGAGAAATGGGACACACAGAAAAAGCGAGAGAAATAACACATACAGAAGAGAGAGAAAAGTCACAAAATGAGTGGAAAAAAGCAGCAGCACAGAGTGAGAAACCAAGAAATACCAAAATAAATATTGGATAGATACAGAAAATTGATATGGCCAACAAGACAGAAAAGTCTATAGTCATTAACAGATACAGTTGGATGGGATGATTTTAGAGAGAAACAAATACGTAAATAATATCTGCTTAGTTTGTTTTACTTTCAATGTTAAATTCAACCATGAGAAAGAGTGAATGACATTTGTCTCTTCATCTGAATGAGTTCTAAGCAAACATGCATGATACACGTGAAAGCTTGCTGGCTTTGATACCTGCCCAACATCTACCTGAAAGACAATATATATATATATATATAAATATATATATATATATATATATATATACACACACACAAATCCTCTTTCTGCTTTAATGTAGGCAGGTGAGACAACACTAACAAATAAGTAAGAGTTTCAAACTGAAGGTCAAATTCTGTTTCTCTTCAGAAAAGAAAAGTGCTACAGTTGTAAGAAGATTTTTTTCCTGCAAATTGGATCTTGTATAAGTTTTGTGATGTTGGACAGCTTCACTTGTCACTTTTGCTATGTCAAGCAGAAGCTCATTATCATTTCCAAAAATGCTTGTTATATTCGAGACTTCGTAGATGCTGGTACTAGTAATAATGCCTTCCAATAATATCCACACTAGTAATACTTGTTCAAGTAGTAATCGCCAAATAGTATAATGATCAGAAGAGAATCATAATCTGTATAGTAGTAAAGTAGAGAGAGTGAATGTATAGCAAGAAGAGTGAACAGTGATCAGTTAGTCATCAAGCTACTTCATATTTATTCACTTCCTTTATAATTACGTGATCTACTTAATAATGGAATCGCCAGTGTTGCTCACTGGCAATCAAGGTTCAAACCACAGTGTTGGCAATGAGACTTGCTCTTATACAACAAAAAACATTAGTGACACAACTCTTGGTTTGAACATCAGAGCAAAGTTCTAGTCTCCTTGCTGAATACATCCAGCATCAAGGCCTCCTATTGGGAGATTGGAGGTTTTGAGGAGCATGGAAGCACCCCTTAATTGCTGTAGTTCCCAGGTCCATTTTGTTTTTGTTCATTATTACTATGAATTTGTTACGTTTGGAGTCTGGTATAACTTTGTTCTTTTTCCACTTACTAGCGAGTACTGTCAAGAGAGGTGACGTCTTGTCTGAAGTTATTAAGTGAATCAGAATTTAAATTTGGTTTGAAAAAAATTGTCAAATTTTAAACTATCAATTTAAATGTCAACACAAAGCCCAAGTTAAAATTTTAGGTAAAATTTTATTGAAGTTATTTGATATATTCTAAAAAAAACTGCCGTCTGAAATTATTAGGCAAACCCCAATAATCACATATTACTTCAATAAAAAGGTAATAAAATCATCACAAATTGATCAACACCTATAATAGAACAAATAACAAACACATATGACAAATCTATGAATCATTTACATTTTAATATAGTGACCCTTCTTCTCAATAACAGCTATCTATTATCAATTGAGTTTGTTATTTTTTTATTTTTTTTTAAGTCAGTATGTTCAATTTTCCATGAGAGTTTTAATTGCTTCCCATAGGTCTGCTTTACTGTTATATTCTTTACCACCTTCATATAATTTCACCTTCACAATTAACCATAGATTTTTGATCGGATTCAGATCAGGACTTTATAGTGGCCATTCAATTAACTTCTCTTCTATAAATCTTTTATGCTTAAAGAATGCACGGGTAAGTTTAGATACATGAGAAGGAGCATTATTGTGCATACTTACACACTTCACTTTGAAACTGCAAGACTGGGACTTGTACCATGCAAAGAAAGTCTTGTTCATAAAAATCACAATACTTAGCACTGTTCAATCCTTCATCGACTTTGGTCCAATAATGGTTTGGTCGATAATTCCAGCTCATCTCATAACACTACTGCCTTCTTGTTGCCTTCTTTAAGCCACAAGCACATTCGAGTTGGATAAAAACTATCCTTTTGCCCATCCATCAGGTCCATCAAATGTCACTCCGGATTAGTCTGTGAAAATTACTTTAGAAAAGTTAATTTTCATATTTCTTGACCCAATTTTGATGCTTTAAAATATTTGCTTCAGCAAGAGTCAGTTGCCGAGGAGATTTTTTTTTTTTTTTTTTTTACAGATCCCAATTCACAAAGCATTCTGCACCTTTTTACCTTCTTGACTCCCACAAATCCAACTTTTTCAAAGATTTGAGTGCTGGTCAAAAGTGGTTGTTTTGCTATAAATTGCATTAGTTGATGTTCATCTGGAGGAAGCAAGTTCTTATTAGTTGATGTTCATCTGGAGGAAGCAAGTTCTTATTAGTTGATGTTCATCTGGAGGAAGCAAGTTCTTATTAGTTGATGTTCATCTGGAGGAAGCAAGTTCTTATTAGTTGATGTTCATCTGGAGGAAGCAAGTTCTTATTAGTTGATGTTCATCTGGAGGAAGCAAGTTCTTATTAGTTGATGTTCATCTGGAGGAAGCAAGTTCTTAAAGTCTTTTCCTTTCTTTCGAGTTCTCAACTTAGTTATAGTCTCAAAAGCTTTCTTTACCATTTGATGAACTCTGCAAAACTCGTTTGATATCTCCAATGTGGACATTCCTTCACTCAATAACTTCGTTATTTTCTGTTTTTCATCAGTTGTTAGATTCTTTCCTTTCCCCAAGTCTCAACATATTATGGACAAAAAAATAGTTTTATTATTATATTTCAGAAGTCTTAAACTAATATTAGTTTAACCTGCAAACTAACTTCAGTCAGACCATCTTGGTAAATTCAAATATCTCAAATACTAGCCATTAAAAATGGCAGAAAATTTAGTTAAATATTTTACTAAGGATGGAAATGGATGACTTTAAATTTGATAAAAATTGGTTCAGAACTTTCTGAGTTACTGAGGTTTATTTGATTTGCATAATAACATCAGACAGCCTGTAGACCAAGCAGATTAGATTTCTAAATTTACTTATAGTATAAGATGTTATTATTAACTATTGTAGTAACCTCTTTTTGGCATTAGTAGTTATGGAAAAAAAAAACTATCCTGTTTATTATAAAGTTTTAATCACAAGAAACATTGTACAACAAAAGGAATATCTAGTCTTATTTTAGTACTGCTCTCTCCTAATTAATATAGTCCTGGATATGATGATAAACTACATCTGGCAGCAAAGCCTCTGATCAGGAAAAGGGAAATTTTGAAGAGGATGAAACCACCTCTTAATTGCTGTTGTTTCCAGGTTCACCTTAACTCAGGGTGGTAGCACCTGTTAGGGTCCCAGCTATGGGCAAATAGTGAAACCCCAAACAAAAACAAAACATTATGAAAGTATAAAAATACATTTTTATAGCAAAAATACCAGCAATATATATATATATATATATATATATATATATATATAAATTATCAGCACTACATATTTATAATAGAATTACCAACAATATATTTTATAGCAAAATGACTAGCAATATATTTTATCTGTAGTTGAAGGCATACAATTACAGTCAAAATATATTTAGTTGAAGCCATAAAATTGGGTTCAAAATATTTAGATTTTAGCATTAAATAACCCATAGAGGTTGATATGCCACTAAATTCAACCAACCAACATTGCCGAATAAGCTTTATTCAAAGTTGTTGATAGTGGAATGATGATGGTTAAACTGGTTTGGTCAATTTTGTTTAATGGCATATCAATACCTCTATCATTTTGCTATAAAATGTATTGTTGGTCATTTTGCTATAAAATGTATTTTTAGTAATTCTATTATAACTATGTAGTGTTGGTATTTTTTTAAAATTATTAATTGAGAATTAAGTGTTTTTTCCTGCTTTCATCAAAAAAAAAAATTCTTGAATATCTCCAACTAGCTCACTGAAGTAACTTTCTTGTTACTCTGAAATTTGTTCAAATTTCTACCATTTTTGCCACTTTTTTTTCTAATCATTTCGTCCCAATCAAGGTGATAATGCTACAAGTATGCAAAGGGTTACAGAGAATGAAAGAAAAGAAGACTTTAGTGAGGATAAAGGACAATAAAAGAACAGTGTTCAGGAAGACAGAAGATGGTAATTGACATTGCATTTAAATTTTTAAAGATTGTAGATGGCAAGGAAGTCAAAAATCAGAAGGGAGTTCCACAGCTAAGGAGTGCAAGAAAAGAAACTATTAGAATAGAAGATATATTTGCATCTAACTAGTTCAATAGTAAAACAGTGAGAACTAATAGATTATATTATAGAATGTTTAAATTCATATAGCTGAGGTACCAAGGAGAAAAGCTCATCAAAACAATTGCCATGAAAATATTTGTAGAAAAGACAGTGGGAAGCCACATCATGTCGGTGAGAAATCAGATTGACTGAAGTTGAGATGCCAGGTCAGAATCAATTACATTACAGACCCTTCTTTGAATTTTGTCAAGAATCTCAAGATATATAGCAGAAGCACCAGACCAGATATGGATGGACAAATAATGATAGAATTATAAAAGTGTAAAATAGATTCTGATGAGAAAGCAAATCATCCTTCCTAACAGTAGATCTAGCAATTGATTCAATAAAAATCACTCCACTTCATGTCAGTGGAGTCCAAGAGGTATAAAGAGTTGCTCTCCTGAAGGTGGGCATTAGCCAGCCATGCTGATGGCAGGCAAAAAAGATTCATTGTGTTGATTAAATAGAAGCCATTTTCTCTATCTACTATCTGGATTGCTGCCAGAATTTTCTATGCATAAGAATTTCTCAGGTGTTGTAAAAGACTGGCAAAGACCTTGAACATAAAACTGCAGCTTGGAGCTAAATGTAGAACACTTTTCATGACGCTTTTTCACAACTGTCATTCTAATAGTAGTAAAGACACATACACACAAAAAAAATTGCCCAAAGTCTAGACAACTGTACACTAGTCAAAAAGTAACAGCAATCATTATAGCTACTGAATGAAACAATGTCTTCAATTCAAGAACTATTCTACCTACATAAGAGATATGTGTACCTTTTGTATTCAAAATATGTAGCTATACAAACAGGTTTGGAGAAATTCCATTATGAGTCTCTGCAATTTCAG